AGCCCCGAAGCCCCGCGGAGCCGCCGGTCCCTGCGTCCTACAGGAGGCGAGCCCGAAGGCAGAGGAAAGAGAGGGCACTCCACCCCCACCCCCCAAATTCCCAAATGAAAGAGACATGTACTTTTTTTTTTTAACAAAATGTATTCATCTTCCTTGGAACTGAAAAATAAATCTATGTACAAAACAGAGGTCAGGCTCCCCTCACCCACTGGCAAGCCCCTGCAGATGCCCCCCGGGGTCCCCCGAGACGGCCGGGCCCAGGGAGGGTTCCGAGGGTCGGAGGAGGGGGCTGCTCTCATCTGGAGCCCGTGGGTGGGAAGGGGCGGAGCTCGGGATTCACAGGCTGGAGGAGTTTCGAGTCCCGGACTCGTGGGAGAGGGAGCGGGGGGAGCTGGGAGCTCCAAATCCTGGGAGCGCCCCTTCTTCATTCTGTGGGGTCGGGGCTTGGGTTCCGAGGGACAGAATTCTGAGTGTGGAAACGCTCTCCGAGCCGGGTCGGGTCCTAGGTCCCCGGGCTGGAGGCGGGACCTGCGCGTCTGGACTGCGGGGTGAAACTTCAGCCCAGGGCGAGGGCGACCCAGAGCGCACTGGTCAGGCTGCGGCCGGAACCGCGGTCTGAGGTGGGGCCTTATGGGGACCCGCGAAGCTTCCATCGCCAGCTGGGAGGCTGGGGACGGGTTCTACGTTCCAATGCCGAGCGCGGGGTAGAGTCTGACTCTGGGTCCGGACCGAACCCGGGTTCCGGGTAGGGGTGGGGCCCGGAGGCCGGGCCGCGGCCCCATTGGCTGGGGCGGAGGGAGCTGGGCGGGGCCTGGAGGGGGACTGAGGACCGGCTCCCCGGACTGGCTGCGAGTCCCGGGGTGCCGTTCAGAGGCCCTTGCGCTGCCGCTTGAGGAAGGAGAGCGTGTAGTCGCTGGGCGTAGACACCTTCTGCTTCTTCATCTGCACTTGCGACTGCGCGGTGAGCTGCAGCTTGATGGCGCTCGAGTTGATCTTGGTGGCCACCAGCAGCTCCTTCATGCCCTTCATCTTCTCGCTCTGGAAAGTGAGCACTGGACCCTCTG